TTAGCAAAACATTAAAATCCCAGTGATGGCTAAATAACACCAAAATAAAGCTCTATCTGTCTCAAAAAATGACAACAATTTCATATGGGCACAGTGTTGCATGACGACGCAATTGTCATTTGAAGTGCAACAGCGCTGAAAGCTGAAAATTGGCCTGGGCAGGAAGGGGGACAAAGTGTTCTATAGGTAAGTGGTTAAGGGAGGCAGTCAGGAGAGCAATAAAACTGCAGCTCAGCAGCCTATTTTTCCCATTCCATTACCACAAACTTTAACCCTAGGTTCACACCTAAGCGGTTTTTGAACTGCAGTCCACTTAACATGGTTTCCTATGGGACAGGTTCACATCTCAGTGTTTCACCCGGTTTGTTTTTTGGAAAGGCTCAGGGACTCTTTTGAACGCAAAAAGTTGCGTTTTTGGTTCCATAGACTTCAATGGAAACGCTACAGAAAAGGATGTAGTGCGTTTTTGCTGTGTTTTTGCTGTTTTGAATTGTAAATCTGCCAGCAACAAAAAAATAAAAAAAAAAAAGGAGAAGAAAAAGACATCAAAAACGCACCAAAAATGCAGGTGCAAAAACGCAACCCAAAACAATGCAGAAATGGCTCAAACGCAAACTGCATATGTGCGAACCTCACCCAAGGCTACATTTCATGGATACACATAAAACGCATGTCGCACGTCTTGTTTATGGCAGGCTAAACGCAGCCAGCAGATGTGCATTTTTTGTACTCATCAAAGCATTATATAAATTCCTCAAAGCGCATGGTTAAAAAAGGTTCAAATATCCAAAAAATGTACACAAGATTGATGCATTGTATGCATGTAGGGAAGCCTATTGAAATGAACGGACTGCCCTATGCATGTGGAAACCTGCACAAAAAGCTTGCAAAAACGCACGTTCACAAGATGCCAGGTTTGACTAATGCTGCCAGGCGATATGCGATATTTGACTGCTTGGCTAAAATAGTACACAATTGGGTGCCTGCATTGAACACATTTGTCACTTTAATGGGGAAAAACAAAGTGTGCTTTGCATTGGATTTGCCATGGCACCTTGGTTGCTGCCCCCAGTTCTGGCAGGACATGGGGGTGCTGGATTTTGGGTAATCAGGAGTCGGGGGGGGGGGGGGGGGAGGGGGGGGATGAATGGTCCGCTCACGGGCAGCACGTCAGTGTAGTGCGCAATGTTGTTTCCGACACACAAGGTGCGATCCCAGCTCTATACGCGTCTGTCCAGGATTTTTGCTGGTTAAGTGGAATAGTCGGGATGCAGTGTGTGCTGAGTGTTGGGAGGACACATGAAAGGCTGTGTATATGAGGAGCCCATTACATGGGGGTCTAGTGTTACCTCTGAGGACTAGGAGGGGCCCGGATTTAACCCTCCCTGCTCCTCTATATAAACTGAGCCTCGTCCTCCGCACACAGTCCTATGATGAGTGAATGAAGAGCGGAGCTCACCCTTCTCCTCCCTATCACACACTCATCCTCCGGCATGGATCCGTCCTCCAGCAGCTGTATGAGGAGCGCCCCGTCCTGGGGCTGTATGAGAGGCCCCCAGGGGGAGGTCAGCGCTCCCCTGCTCCCCTATCAGCAGCTCCCCTTCTTCCCGCAGAAGCCGGACTACAGCACCTACCCGGACTTCTCCGCACCCTGCCTGGCCACCGCTCCGCACACCTACCCCCGGGAGGAGCGCCTCTACCCAGAGCACACCTACCTCCCCTCCGACTGGTCCTCCGAGGCCAGAGGAGACTCAACCCCAGCTCCGGGGACCTGGAGAGCAGCAGCCCCAACCTGCTGGATGGATCGGGCTGTATCAATGAAGAGTATGGGGGCCCCAAGAAGGGGGCCAAGAGGAAAAAGGAGAGCCAAGGTGAGTGATCATGGACAGGTTTACATCGATGTGTATGGGGGGATTGGGCTGTGATGGCAAATACAACATTTTATGGGTGTCACCGGGGCAGGAAGTGGGGGAAATCTCCCGATGGGGACACGTGGGCTTCTGAAGACTAAATCTGGACTTACACATACAGATTTTTTTTTTTAATGTAGCATGAATGACCAAAAAATCCAACAAGTCTAAAAAGGGCTATCATTGTTTTATATTGATGTTCTATTATTATATTATATTACATTATATTATATTAGTATTCTATTCCTATTTTCTTCTATTAATATATTCTTGTCTTATTATCTTTTATTATTATATACTATTATAGTGTTCTTAACATCTTATAGTAGCATATTTTATTATTATATTCTCATCTTATTATTATATTCTTAAAATAAAAAAATATATATCCGCGCTGTCTAATGATACAAAGCAGCTGCCACAAATAGGTAGTATGAAAACCTAATAATGACTGAAAATGTGAAGTGCAGCACTAAAAGTCATATTACCGTATGTTATTCTATTCATATATTCTTGGTATCTTCTATTTATTATATTCTCATCTTATTATATTAGTATATTCTGTTATTATTTTCTGTTATTCTACTATTATGTTCTTAACGTATTGTATTTGTATATTCTCTTGTAGCATTTTTGCTGTGTTTTGAATTGTAAATTTGCCTAACAAAAAAATGTAAAAAAAAAGACATCAAAAACGCGCCAAAAATGCAGGTGCAAAAACGCAACCCAAAACATAATGCAGAAATGGCTCAAACGCAAACTGCATAGGTGCGAACCTCGCCTAAGGCTACATTTCATGGACACACAAAAAACGCATGTCACACTTCTTGTTTATGGCAGGCTAAATGCAGCCAGCAGATGTGCATTTTTTGTACTCATCAAAACATGATATAATCTCCTCAAAGCGCATGGTTAAAAAAGGTGCAAATGTCCAAAAAATGTACACAAGATTTATGCATTGTTTGCATTTGGCGCTATATAAACTCGTAGTAATAATAATAATAATAATGTAGGGAAGCCTATTGAAATGAACGGACTGCCCTATGCATGTGGAAACCTGCACAAAAAGCTTGCAAAAACGCACGTTCACAAGATGCCAGGTTTGACTAATGCTGCCAGGCGATATGCGCAATATTTGACTGCTTGGCTAAAATAGTACACAATTGGGTGCCTGCATTGAACACATTTGTCACTTTAATGGGGAAAAACAAAGTGTGCTTTGCATTGGATTTGCCATGGCACCTTGGTTGCTGCCCCCAGTTCTGGCAGGACATGGGGGTGCTGGATTTTGGGTAATCAGGAGGCGGGGGGGGGGGGGGGGGGGGGGGTTTAAGCGGACCCTTTTAGAATAGATGTTATTTTGTAAAGTTTGTGGATGCTTTGTAGTCAGGTGACCATGTGAGTGATCACACTATAAGACGGTGAGCCTGTCACGTGGCATGCTGACATTTGGTAACGGTTATGCGATTATTGGCGTCATATATATGTGACCGATTGCAGATAGTAGCAGCATGCTTCAAATGAGCAGCCATCTTTTTTTTTGTCTTCTGAATGGTGATCGCTGATTAATCGCACAGTGCTTTTCCATGATCCCCAGTACAGGATAGGATTATTAATATTATAATACAGTATTTATAAAGTGCCAATAGTTCGCTCAGCGCTGTACATTACAAAGGGGGACAGAACAACAACAATACAATGCAAAACATGAGGGGATCGAGGGCCCTGCTCTTTCGAGCTTACAATCTAGGAGGGAGGGGATGGTGGCACAGGAGGAGATAGCTGTGGGGGATGGAGTGGTAGGAAGAGTGGAGGAGGTTGGCAAGTTAGCAGGGGGTGGGGTAGGCTTCCCTGAAGAGGTGGGTTTTCAGGGTGCGCCTAAAGGAGAGGAGAGTAGGTGATAATCTGATGGGTTGGGGAAGGGAGTTCCAGAGGATGGGTGACACCCTGGAGAAGTCCTGGAGGCGGGCATGGGAGGAGGAGACCAGGGAACTAGAGAGAAGGAGGTCTTGTGAGGAGCGGAGTGTGCGGGCTGGGTGGTACTTGGATATTAGGTCAGTGATGTAGTTCGGGGCAGTATGGTGGACGGCTTGGTACGTCAGTGTTAGGATTTTGAATTTGATCCATTGCGCAATTGGAAGCCAGTGGAGGGATTGGCAGAGGGGGGTGGCGGAAATGGAGCGGTTGTTGGAAAGGTGAATGAGTCTGGCAGCCGTATTCAGGATCGACTGAAGCGGGGATAACCAGCAGCGAGGCAGGCCAGTGAGGAGGGAGTTGCAGTAATCGAGTCGTGATATGATGAGGGAGTGGATGAGTTGTTTAGTGGTTTCTGGGGTTAGGAACGTGCGTATTTTGGCGATGTTGCGGAGGTGGAGTCTGCACGGGAGTCTGCACGAGCTTGTTAAAGATTGGACTTGGGGCTGGAAGATTAGGTGGGAGTCCAGAATGACACCAAGTACTCTGGCCTGCGGGGTGGGTTTGATGGTGGCGTTGTTGGATGTGATGGAGAAGTCAATGGGGTGGTGTCCGGGCTGGGGGGAAGACAAGAAACTCGGTTTCGGAGAGGTTCAGTTTTAATGAAGTGGAGAGACATCCAGTCTGATATGTCGCTCAGTAGGTGTGTGATTCGGGCGGAGACTGAGGGGGTGAGGTGGTGGGGGGTTGAGAGATAGATTTGTGTGTCATCGGCATATAGGTGGTAGTTGAAGCCGTGAGAGTGTATGAGTTGGCCAAGGGAGGAGGTGTAGAGGAGAAGAGAAGGGGCCCGAGCACGGAGCCTTGAGGGACCCCAACAGAGAGGGGGAGTGAGGGGGAGGTGGTAGCGTTATAGGTAACGCTGAAAGAGCGTTGTGACAGGTAGGATGAGAGCCAGGAGAGAGCAGAATCTCTGAGGCCAAGGGAGTGTAGTTTTTTGAGGAGGGGGGTGGTCGACTGTGTCGAAGGCTGCAGAGAGGTCAAGGAGTAGGAGCACTGAATAGTGGCCATTAGCTTTGGCGGTTAGCAGGTCGTTGGAGAGTTTAACCCACTTCCCCGACCGGCCGTTGCATATATAAACGGCCGGACTGTGGCAGTACAGGGTCGGGTGGCCGTTTATGAACGGCCTCCCCGCACCCTGCTTGTGCGTGCTCCCTGGGACGCGCGCAGCACCGCGATCCGGTGCCCGCTGTGTCCTCCGGTCATGTGATCATTGCTTACTACTGATTGGCCAATCAGTGATCAGATGCAAAGTAGTAAAAAGATGTCACTTCTGACATCATTGCTTACTCTACGTGTGAAATCTGTGAATGATCACAGAGGTCATATGGTACAAGGCTATTCACAACAGCCTTGTACAATGTGACAAGCTGTGACCAATCACAGCTCACTCAGTACTTCTCAATGATATGCAGGAATGCACACAGAGAGAAACAGAAATGATTGCTTTTACATCCTATATGGGTGTAATTTAGCAATCATTGTAAAAAAAAAAAAATCTTCATTACCCCCCACAAGTAGGGTAAAAAATTTATTTGGGTACAGTGTTGCATGACTGCGTAATTGTCATTCAAAGTGTGATAGCGCTGAAAGCTGAAAATTGCCCTGGACAGGAAGGGGTAAAAGTGTCCGGTCTGGAAGTGGTTAAGTAAGGCAGTTTCAGTGGAGTGTAGGGGACGGAAGCCGGACTGTAGGGGATCGAGGAGGTTCTTATCGTTGAGGTGAGAGTTTAGGCGGGTGTAGACTAGGCGCTCGAGGAGTTTGGATGTAAATGGGAGCAGGGAGATGGGTCTGAGGTTGTTCGGGTCATTGGGGTCCAGGAGGGCTTTTTAAGTATGGGGGTGATGTGTGCATGCTTTCAGAGGGAGGGGAAAGTGCCGGAGGAGAGGGAGAGATTAAAGATGTGGGTGAGGGAACGTAGGATGGAGGGGGAGGGAGGTCGTAGGAGTTGTGAAGGGATAGGGGTCGAGGGGGCAGATGGTTGAGGCGGGCATCAGAGAGGATCTTGGAGATTTCCTCGATGGTAGTAAGGTCAAAGGTGCGGAGTGTTGGGGGGGCTTCAGTATGAGGAATGTAGGGTGGGGTGGAAGTAGAGGTCAGATCAGTGGTGGGGCCGTGGGAGAGGGGTGATGAGGGGGTAGCTGAGTGAGTGGGAACGGGGTTGGAGGGAGTTTGAGCAGTGACAGCGACGAAGTCCCTGCGGGTTATGTCGAGGGAGGGGGGATGAGGGGGGGTAGCTGTGTGAGAGGGGACGGGTCGAGAGGGCGTGTGAGTTGCAACGATGTCCTTGCGAAATTGTGTTCAATCTTGTTTTTTGAAGTGATTGGCAATCTCAAGGGCGGTTGGCGGTGAGTGAGGTGCTGGGTGGAGGGTGGGGGTAGCGAGAGTAGAGAGTGGAGAAAAGTCGGCGAGGATTGGAGGAGAGGGGCCTTGATGAGGGTCAGGAAGTAGGCTTGTTTGGCTGCGTGGAGGGAGAGAGGTGTAGGTGTGGAAGGCAGATTTGTAGCGGGTGAAGACTTGTTGGGATTTTGGTTTTGCGCCATAGTCACTCCAGGCACACAACTGTGTCGTTTGAGGGTTTTGGGTGTGATCAGTCTGCCAGGGCTGGAGCGGTCGGGGTCTGATGTTGCGTGTGGTTAAAGGCGCTAGTGAGTCAAGGGCTGTTGACAGCGCGTTGTTGTAGGCGGTCATAGCCAAGTCGGGGCAGGACGGGGAGGATGCTGTCGTGGAGTTGATCAGCTGCAGAGTTCAGGGGGGCAGGGTTAAGGTTGCGGAGGTCACTGCTGGTAATAGTGTGACATTTGGAGGGGTAGGCGTTGGAGGACGAGGAGAATAGAGAAGGTAATCAGGTTGTGGTCAGAGAGAGGGAAGGGGGTGTTAGTGAGGTTGTGGGGAGCGCAGCGGTTGGAGAAGACAAGATCAAGGATATTCCCGTCGGAGTGGGTGGTGGATTGTATGCACTGTGCAAGTGCAAATGGAGGAGGTTAAGTGGATGAGATGGGATGTGTCGGGTTGTCGAGGTTGACAGGGATGTTTAAATCCCCAAGGATGATGGTGGTAGCTCAGAGGAGAAGAAGGGTAGCCAGGAGGAAAAGTCATCCAGGAAGCGGGGTATGGATCCAGGAGTCCGGTATATCACAGCAATCTTCAGGGGGGTTGGGGAGAATAGTCAGACGCAGTGGCCTCGAAGGAGGTGAAGGATAGGGAGGGGGGGTTTGGGAGGACTCGGAAGGTGCTCTGCGGTGACAGGAGCAGACCAACCCCACCACCTTTACGACCGTTGGGCCTGGGTGAGTGGGTCCAGGTGAGACCTCCGTAGGAGAGTGCAGCAGGGGAGGTAGAGTCAGTGGCCTGGATCCAGGTTTCCGTAATCGCTAGGAGGTTGAGGGGAGGGGAAACAAAGAGGTCGTGGATGGCGGTAAGCTTGTTGCACACTGATCGGGCATTCAGGAGTGCACATGAAAATGGAGGGGAGATTTTAGGGAGCAGGGGGGACAGATACTAAGTTGTAGGGGTTGCGGCAGGACGTGGAGGCGGGAGGGTGTTGTGCGGGTGAGGGAGGTGGTGGAGGGCCAGGATTCGGGGAGATGTCCCCCGCGATTAGGAGGAGGAGAAGGGGGGTGAGGAAAGTTGGCATGGGAGCGGGATGTGCAGGAGTGTGAGAAACTACTAGTGGAGGTGTTCGGGTCAAGGGAGAGCGGAGTAATAGGAGGAGGTGGTGGGTGCCCGTAGAGGGGTGAAGGAAGCAGTGAGGACACAATATACAATTGTTTTAGGAGGAGCAGAGGGATAAGTGAATGGATTTTGGGAACAGGAGGAGAGGAAATTGAGAAGGAGGAGTGGAAGAGGCATTTTGGGGAGGTGCCCGGGAGGGCGGATAGGAGTGGTGGGGAGGGTTGGGTTGTCGATAGTCCAGCGGGCAGAGGCGTATCTCGTCGATTCACTGAAGCCCCATGCACACAGCACGTTATAACTCTGGTAACGTTAGCTGTGTAAAGTCATGTAAAAAAGTGAGTTTTTCAGCTTGTTTTAGTGGTTTTGCATTCGCATTTAGCAGCTTTTTCCAGCGTTTTTCAACATTTGCGTTTTTTGTCTTTTTTTTTGTGTTTTTCTTTAAAAAAAAGTCCAAAAAACCCAGTTTGTGGCATTTTACTGCGTTTTACAGCATTACAGCATTTTTACAGCTAAAAAAATCCTCTAGAAACCCACTACTTTCCAGCTTTTTTTAGCATGTTTGCATTAGCGTTTAGTGGCGTTTTTCTGCTTTTAGCGATGTTTTTCCGCGTTTGTGTTTTTTGGCATTTTTCTTTCCCCCAAAAAATTATATATATTTTTTGTCAAAAAAATTCCAAAAACACCGGTTTGCGGCGTTTTTACAGAGTTAAAGCATTTTTACAGCTACAAAAACTCCTCTAGAAACCCACTAGTCCCAGGTTTTTTTTCCAGCCAAAAAAACACCCCAGCCAAAAAACACTGATTACTGTCTATGTGTGCATGGACACATAGGATAACATGCTGGGGAGTTTACTGGCTGTAGAAAAAACATCAAAAGCGAAAAACAGCCGCTGTAAAAACGTCCAGTGTGAATGAGAACTAAAGGTTACCGCCTGCAATAAACACTGTCACATGACTCATTTGCATAAATGATCGCATTAGGTAACAAAATGTCCAGTTCACAAACAAATTATGATTCTGTGGTATTTAACGCAAAATTAAAAATGTGTCGGCATTGCTGGCATGTTTTGTTTTCATTCAGCTGTCAATGGGACACTCGCTGACAGCTGATGAGTTATCCGTTGTTCAGGACACTGCGGCTGGCTTCCTTAACAACCAGCTACCGCATGATAAATTACGGCATGAAAATATGTGGTAATTACCGCAATAACAATATTTTATCGCTAGAGTTATTTACCGCAAACTTCTTAGTGAATTGCACATTTGCAAAAAATTTATTGCATGCACATTTTTTCAGTCATTATTTAACTCTAGTGAATTGACCCTACGGTGCTATAAAATGTTCGATCCAAATGGACTGGCTGTAAAAATCAATTGTACGGCAAACATAATCCGATCAATGTTCCATACACATGTACCCTGAGTTTTGATTAAGGAGAGGTTCACACCTATGCAGGTTGCGTTTGAGCTGTTTCTGCATTGCGTTTTGCATTGTGTTTTTGATGCGTTTCTTTTTAAATTTATTTTTTAAATTTTTCTTGTTGCTAGGCAGATTTAAAATGCAAAACGCATTAAAAACATGGCAAAAAACACAATACATGTTTATCTGCAGCGTTTCCATTGAAGTCTATAGAACCAAAAATGCAACTTTTTGCGTTCAAAAAAAGTCCCCGGCCCTTTCCAAAAAACGCACAGGTGTGAACACGTCCCATAGGAAATCATGTTAAATGGACTGTACTGCGTTTCTGCACACTTAGGTGTGAACCTAGGGTAAATTAATCATATCACTGACTTCTCCATCACGTCCAACAATGCCACCATCAGGCCCACCCCACAAGCCAGAGTACTTGGTGTCATTCTTGACTCCAATCTATCCTTCCAGCCCCAAGTCCAATTGCTAACAAACTCATGCAGACTCCACCTCCGCAACATCGCCAAAATACGGGCAATCCTAGCCCCAAAACCACTAAGCAGCTCATCCACTCCCTCATCATATCACGACTCGATTACTGCAACTCCCTCCTTACTGGTCTGCCTCGCCGCTGGGCTATACCCGCTTCAGTCGATCCTGAATACGGCAGCCAGACTCATCCACCTTACCAACCGCTCCGTATCCACCACCCCCCTCTGCCAATCCCTCCACTGGCTTCCGATTGCCCAACGCATTAAATTCAAAAGCCTAACATTGACGTACAAAGCTGTCCATAACTCTGCCCCAAACTACATCACTGACCTAATCCAAATACCACCCAAAACGCACACTCCGCTCCTCACAAGACCTCCTACTCCCTAGTTCCCTAGTCTCCTCCTCCCATGCCCGTCTCCAGGACTTCTCCAGGGCATCACCCATCCTCTGGAACTCCCTACCCCAATCCATCAGACTATCACCTACTCTCCTCTCCTTTAGGCGCACCCTGAAAACTCATCTCTTCAGGGAAGCCTACCCCACCCCCTGCTAATTGCCGATCTCCTCCACTCTTCCTACCACTCCACCCCCCACAGTTTTTCCTCCTGTACCACTATCCCCTCTCTCCTAGATTGTAAGCTCCAAGGAGCAGGGCCCTCGAACCCCTCGTGTATCACATTGTATTGTTGTTGTACTGTCGCATGTATTGTCTCCATTGTAATGTACAGCGCTGAGCGAACTATTGGCGCTTTATAAATATTGTATAATAATAATAATATCAAGTTGATTGGATGGAAGCACTAGGCTACTTTTGTGC